GACTTTTCAAACAGCAGCTGCCTATCCAGTCTCTGAGATGTTGCAAAGGGAACTCTTCCCTAGGTGGGCTTGAACCGCTAATGCTCAACTCCGATTGGGGGGAGAGGAAGCCACTCCAATTCATTTCTTCCCCATTTTAAACCCTGCTCCTATCTTGTATCATCCTTCCTTCTCTTTTCTGTCCCATTTCATCTTCTGAATTCTTAATAGCTCGTGTTGTATCTGCCAGAGATGCCCACAACCCTCAGGATCCACCTGCTTGTCTGTGGACAATGCATATAACAAGCTATTTGTCAGGAGTCTGCTGACCATATAGGCATTAAACACATCATGCCAAATTTCTCCGCGGAGCCAGTGTGTAAGGTTCTATGTGGATGTGTATGTGTGTGTGTGTGTGTGTGTGTGTGAGTTTATCATTCCTGTGCTTGCACATGAGCATGAGTGTTGTAATTGGAGTTGCAGCTCAAAGTAACAAAAAGCAGTTTGCTTAGTGGGGTGTGTGAATGGCGTGGGGGTGGGGTATAGCTGTGGCCTTGGTTACCAGGGAGGACTGTTCCCCCATCTTGTCTGCTACCTCTCCTTTCCCCTCCTCCAAATTCTTCCTTAGCCCCAGGCTCACTGCTCAAGGTTAATTTCCCCAGCTGCAGCTGTGACTCCATCCTCCTCCTCCTGCCTCCTCCTCCTCCCTCCTCCATCTACCACACACACATGGGCTTTGAGTTTAGTGCCTCCTGTTCTAATGAGATAAACAACATAACTGTCATGAGGCTTTGCTCTTCCCCCTTAAGTGGAACTCTAGGGCTGGATGCATTGTCCCTATAAAGGCACCATGGTGTCTGTCATCTTAGCGAGGAGGGTAAGGAAGGAGGCAGGGCACCCCTAGAGGGCTTTTGAGGCCATGTGCTGTGGATTCAAAGCAGACATCCAAGGAAGGCCTGTTTCCATCCTTGTGCTAAAGGCGCAAATGGCAGCATGGACAGGGTGGATGTGGACCCAGGCATGGCACGTGGGCATAGGGTCCAAGACTCTTTTTGTCAGCTAAACTCACGATAATAACTGACATTTGTACAAGGCGTCATGGTTATAAAGAGCTTCCTCTTGACTATGTTAATCCCCATGACAGCTCTTATAAAGAAGATACTATCATCACCCTTATTTTACAGATGAGAAACAGGTCCAGAAAGGTGCAATATTTCCAAGGTGACAGTGGTGGCACTAGGACTCACGTGCGCTTCCTCTGCTCCAGGAACTTCTCCAATCCACCAGAGGAATGTAAACAATGAAACAAAAACAGTCCCCATTTCTGGACATCCAAACTACTTAGGCCTCTCCCAGGAGAGCAGGCCTTCAGCCACAAGCTTAGTGGCCTGAGGCTGCCTCAGTGCCACTGATCAATAATGTGAAGTGATCATAGTCTCTGGGAGGGTGTATGGCCTGGAGAAGCTATTGACAAGTTTCACCTCTTGCCGCTTAGACCTTTGGAGTGTGCCAGATGGATCTGCTCCTTCTCACTCACTTGCTTTTGGTCAAGTTGGAAATACTAGGAAGCAGCTTACAGGGCAAGAAGGGAGCCTAAGACAAAGAGTCTGCCATGATGGGGTGAGTAGGGGAGGGCTCTGGGCTCAGTTCTGAGCTCACCTTCCAGGGCCCCTCTTGGATGGTTTGGATCTGAGCAGATGAGTCCCCTGGAGCTAGGAACAGCAGGGCTAGTGGTCATTCATTTCCTGCATTTCTGAGTCCAGTTCCATTCTGGCTGAATTTGTATGGTAAGTATTTCTTGATATGCCAGGCACTGTGTTAAGTGTTGGGGACACTAGAGATGGGCATAGTTCCTTCTGTCCTGGATCTTATAAAACCAATGGGGGAGGTAGCCAGTAAGCAGATAATTAATGACACCACTTTGAGGGGAAAGTATAGGGAACTTTGAGATTCGACAGGAAAGACCATAAAACCAGTCTTGGTACATCAGAGAAAACATCCAAGCAGTAACTAGATGATGCTTAGACATACAGCGGTTCTCAGTCAGCCATTGGAAGAATCTGTAAAGTTCTTTTAAAAATTGTTGACTGATTCTCCCATCCCACCTACATTCTGATTGGGTAGGTTTGGCATAGATTGTGGGCATTGGTATTTTTAAGATGTCTTGCACGTGATTTTGGTTTTGGCTTGGGTTAAGCATCCCTAACCCAAGAAGAGTTGAGTGGGGATTGGTGGGACCAGTTGTGGGATGTGGCAGTTCTGGGATGTGGAGGAGCAAGTCAGGCCTTGTGCTTGGCCTTCTCTGGGATTCTGGGGAACACTAGCCTCAGAGGTGGCATGAACATCTGGAAGGGACCCAGAATCCATATAGCCATTCAGGGATTTCAGGACCAGAGATGGCATGGGCCTGGAGTGAACCACATCAGAAACCTTGGGCTATTCCCAGTGAAGCCTTGCCTCAAAGAGAGGTCAAAACGGGACCTCCCATGGGAGAGAGAGCAAATCCTGTTTTGTTTGACTCACTCGTTTTTCTATAAATCAGGCACAAGTCTGGTCCTCAGAGCTCAGGGAGCTCAGAGCTTCCAAGACCCTCCTAAGGTACAGAAGCCCATGAAGTTATCAACAAAATCAAGTATTAGGATGATTTTTAGAAATGACTAGCCCATTAGGCCATCAGTTCATGAGAACGCCAGTGACTGTGACAATATCAGGGGTTTTACTAGAGACTCTAGTCTCCATCACACTTAGTGGTTTCTGTCATAGTTATCAAGTGCTGCTGTAACAGAAATACCACAAGTGGAGGCTTTAACAAAGAGAAGTTTATTCTCTCACAGTCTAGTAGGCTAGAAGTTCGAATTCAGTGCATCAGCTCCAGGGGAAGTCTTCTTTCTTTGATGGCTGTGGATGAAGGTCCTTGTCATCAATCTTCCCCTGGTTCAGGAGCTTCTCAGGCGCAGGGAGCCCGAGTCCAAAGGATGCACTCTGCTCCCGATGCTGCTTTCTTGGTAGTCTGAGGTCCCCCTGTCTCTCTGCTCACTTCTCTCTTTTGTATCTCAAAAGAGATTGGCTTCAGACACAATCTAATCTTGTAGATCTCATCAACATAACTGCTGCTAATCCACCTCATTAACATCATAGTGATAGGATTTACAGCACATAGGAAAATCACATCAGATGACAAAATGATGGAAATCATGCAATACTGGGAATCATGGCCTAATTGATGGCAAACTTGATATACATATTTTTGGGGGACACAATTTAATCCATGACATTTTCTAAGAATTATAGGGGAAGTGTCAGAACCCCCTACTTGCTCGTAGTCTTTCAACCTGTGGGAGCAGCTGTGTGATTAAAAATGATGCTTTGCACGTAATGAACAGTTTGGTTTGTTTAATGTTGGGATAGTTTGCCCCTGCTTCAGACCCAACCCAATGAATGGTAGAGGTGACTGGTAAAAATGAAAAATGAATGAATGGACAGCAATGAAACTTTGTAGATTTTCTCTGTGAAAGGCATAAAGCGAAGCCAGTTTCTCTCTTAACTTTTAAAGGTCCCCAAACAGCAGATAGGAATGAGGTTCTGATGCTTTCTGAACTCCATGATCCTATCTCTAGGCCGTGGCACTCTCATGTGAGATTTCCTGCATCTAACAGCTGCCAATTGTCACATTTATCTGCAGAAGACAGAGTTGTAAACTTAAAAGTCAAACCGAAACATATTCATTCATTCAACAAATATTTAGTTTGGTTCTTCTATGTGTCAGGTATAGCTCTGGTTCTAGGGATTCTGATGGGAACATTCAACATCCCTGGCCTCACTAAGCTTTTCATTCTAGCTAGGGTTGGTTGGTTGGTTTGCTTGGTTATTTTGGGGTGCACAAGACAATCTTTTTAGACTGCTAATCACCTAGCTGGAGCCCTGGTGGCACAGGGGTTAAGAGCTATAGCGAGCTACGGCTTCTAACCAAAAGGTCAGTAGTTCACATTCACTAGCCACTCCTTGGAAACCCTATGGAGCAGTTGTACTCTGCTCTATAGGGTCTCTCTGAGTCAGAATGGACTCCACGGCAATGAGTTTGGTTTGGTTTGGGTTTTAATGATCTAGCCAGTCTTCAGCACTTTCCTCTTCTCCCTTATGCCTCTATTCCCCGCCCTTTTCTTTGGGAATAGACCATGGTTTAGTGTGGAGAGTCCACATTCCTCCAAGGACTCTGGCTGCCACAGAGCCATAAGAGGGGTGTCTGATGACACCACTCTCAAGGCCCCTCAGGGGGTACTTGGCATAAGAGGTGATACTAGTGTGGAGCTTTGGTGTCAAAGGCCAAATAAAAATGGTGAGTCTGATTGAAAGGCAGTGTGGTACGTAAGCCCTGGCAGGTGGCCAGGGAAGTGCAGGTATGCTGGCCCTGCAGGCCCATGGAGGCTGGTTGCCAGAGTAGGCTTGTATTCTGACAGAGGTTGCATAGGGCTCCCTTTGGCTTCAGCATGCTGCCAGCAGCTAACGGTGGGTAGGGTAAGCCAGTAAGTAGAAGAACTGACTCCTTGATCTGTTTTCTTGAAATACTTGACAATCCAAGATGTCCACAGAGTGAGCAGACTGACTTCTGCTGCTCCACCTTGAAGGGAGCCTGCTCAACCTCGACCTAGACAGAGGGGCAGTAGCTGGAGCTCATTGTCCTTGGAAATACTATAGAGACGTTGACTCTGAAGGCTTCTCTTGTGGTCTGAAGGTCCCTCTGACACTCCCCCCAGGCCAAGAGAGCAGAACTGGTTTGATACAGATGATGGCTCTTTTTGGCCTGGGCTTACTGGGACAGCATGGTGGAGCAAACAGAGCAAGGGTCCAGGGGTCAGCTCCATTCTGCTTTGGTTCTACCATCAACCAGCTGTGTGACCTTGACAAGTCCACCTCTCTAGCCTTCAATTTCCTCTCACTGTGAATGAGAGAGTTGGACAGGGTGGTTTCTGAGGCCCCTTCCAGCCTGGAGCCTTTAACCTTTACACTGTTTCTGTCCACAGGCCTTGCCCCGGGCCAGCTGTACACATACCCTGCCCGCTGCTGGCGCAAGAAGAGACGATTGCACCCGCCTGAGGATCCAAAGCTGCGGCTGCTAGAAATAAAACCTGGTCAGTGCCCTAGAGCTTGGCTTTGCCTGTGATGGGAGAGGTGGGGAGGGCTGGGCTGGGCCCAGGCCAAGGATGGTTTGCTCATTTTTCATAGAGCTGATTTTTCCAGGAGAGAAAACATGCCCCATGGTGCTCGAAGGTGTGCCGCTATTGTGCATGCTGTCAGGTATGAGTGTGTCCACCTGAGCTTCTCTCCCCTCCAAGTGTCTCATATCCCAGAGGAGTAGAACAAGCAGCAGCGGGGTGGTAACAGGCCCAGGTTGAATGACTTTCCTGACAGAGCTGAAGGAGCTGCAGCTTGGTTGGGTCATGTGATACCTTCCTTGTGGCCTCAAGTAAAGAAACCACATCCAGGGTTGTGCATTCCTTAGGAGAAGAGAGTGAACCTGTGTACCCTCTCTCTTCCCTACCCTGTATGAACTTCTGGAGCATCTTACCTGGAAAGGGGCCGGTATGCTAAAAATAGAACCCACCTTGGACATGGACATGGAAGAGTCTGAATTCAAAATTTCCCACTAGGTGACATGGATTGTTTTGTGATCATGCAGAAGGAATTGGCTGGTTTGTCTTGATTACCAATTTGTTATGGCAGTGCTGACTACATGGCTCTACCTGGGTTGTAACAAGGCCAAGTGATTGCCCTGGCTCCTTAGCTTTAAGGAGACCCATTTTTTTTTTCGGGGGGAGGGGGGGGCGGTTCCCAGGAGCTAAGATGTGACCTCAGGATGGTGGGAGCAGTGCTGCCAAGTGGCACAAATACAGAGTTGAGATGTTCCTTCCCATTGTCACCAAGGTGATGCTGGCTGTGCCCTCACTTCTTCCTTTCCACGCTGTCCAGGCTGCTTTTACTCTGCAAAATCTCTACTTACAGTTGTTCAGGGTGCTTTCACTCATAGCTCCATGGTTAAGACTTCCTGGATTGTTCACTTCAGCCCAGATTTCTCTTGTGTAAAGTTTTATTTGTTAGGGATGGGTTGGGGGGCTGGATTCTTCAATGTGCTCCATCCAAGTTCTCAAGTGTCCTTGTACCATTATAAACCACAATTTATAGACTTGCAAACATTCCAGGGTGATGATTAAGGTTGTTCCAAACCCACTGAGATGCAGGCTGCAGCATGGTCTAGTCAAAATATAATGTAAGCCACATGTCATTTTAAATTTTCTAGTAGCCGCATTAAAAAAGCAAAAAGAAACGGGTGAAATTAATTTTAATATATTCTATTTAACCTGATATATAAAAAGGTTATCGTTTCAGTATATAATCAAAATAAAAATTATTAATGAGATACTTTACTTTTTATGTTTTGGTATTGTCTTTGAATTCCAGTGTGTATTTTACCCACCACATTTCAAGTGCTCAATAGTCAAATGTGGCTGGTGGTGCCAGTATTGGGCAGCATGGTTCTAGAAATACACACTCCACGTGTGGTCCTGACCAGGAGCAGGGCCATCACTTGGGAGCTTGTTAGAGAATCTTAGGCCTCAACCCAGACCTGCTGAGTCATAATTTGCATTTTAACAAGCTCTGCAGGGGATTGGAATGCACATTGAAGTTTGAGAAACAGTGGCCTTGACGGTGGCCAGACCACAAGGGAGCCTGGCATGATTGCACATCACCTACCTTTCTGAATTAAGCATGACAAATACTAGTCAATACGAATGGTTCATTCTGAGGGAGGCCCTCCTTCTTTACCTCATCTCCATGGTCCTGGTCCCGTGGACGTGGCGTGGACGAATGATGTGCAACCTCTGGTCTGGCCTTACCTGAACCACTTTAATTCTACTCCATTTAGAATCCCGCAGTGGATACCGCAGCAGGAGGACAAATACATGTTGGGTTCAGCATGTGGTCTTTGGGGAAGGATGTGTCTCCTTGTTTGAGTACATGAGCCCTCTGGGTATATTTCCCCATCTGTAAAATAGGCACAGTGGTATCCCGGATTCCCAGCTAGGTGTTCACGTCAAACAAGTCATATGTGATAACATTTGCCCTTGTTTACCCTTTTAATTAAAACATTTAGAAAATTTGCTTGATTTTGAGTAGGTAATACAGTCACAAATTTTGACGTTCAGAAGATAAAAGGGATGTATTGTACAGTGAAAAATCAGACCCAGTCTCGCGAGAAGCAGTCAGTGGTACAAGTTTCTTGAGAGTCTCTTCAGAGTTAGCCTTTGCACACATTGGGAATTACATTTATATAATTTTCCTCTCCTCTTTTTTTTTTTTTTTTAACACAGCATAACCACCTTGCGTTTTTCCCTTTCACTTAAAAATGTGCCTTAGACATTGACCATATCAATATATAAAGAGTTTTCTCATTTCTTTTTTACAACTACGTAATATTCGATTGTACCGTGTTTTATTTAACCAGGCTGTTTCCAATTCTTGTTTCTAGTATCTGTAATTTAACTAGTGATGCAATGAATATTTTGTACATATCTGAGGATATCTCATATGCAATTTGTTAATTTAAAGCATTTCATTATAAATACTTGACCTTAATTTTAAAGTATTAGTCTTTACTCGTAACGTCTATATAAAAAGTCTTTATTAAGTATACTTTCTATCAGGTGAATTGGATTTTCTTTCATAAAATCAAAGGCATTTAGTGCTATAAAATATCTTAGACATCCTTAACTCCAACTCCTTATTTTATTGAGGTTCAGAGAGGTTAAGAGCCTTGCTCAAAGCCACACAGCAATTCCTGAGGCATTCAGCAGCAAATTCAGGTTGCTTGATTTCCCTGTTCAATGCTTTTTTCTGCTCCCTCATTCTGCTGATAGGTATACTAACTGAAAAAAACCGAGAACTTTAATGAGACTTTTTCCCTTAAAAACTTTATTTTATGTAATAAATATTAATTATCAAAATACACCAAGAGATAGTTAGAATTCTTTTGGTCATAAATGTCAGAAACTAAAGTCGAGCTGGCCTAAGCCAAAAAAAAAAAAAAAAGGGAAACTGGTTCATGTAACAGTAAATCCAGGAGTTCACCTGAATTCAGGCATGGCTGCATCCAGGGCCTCCAACAGTGTAGTGAGGATTCTGTGCCTCTTTTCGCCCCTAACACTTTCCTCTCTCCTGGGACAGGCAAGATGGCCACCAGCAGCCCCAGATTTGGCAACCACCACCCCCTGCAGGAAGGCAGTCCCCTTCAGTAGCTGTGGCAGAGAAGTTCAGGGAAGATGATTATCTGGCTAGGTTTATATGCGCTCTGCCAATCATTGTCACCCAGGGAAAGGGTCACTCCGATTGTTTTGAATAGTAGTAATCAAAACCAGTGTCTGAACAGTATGCTGTAGTTTACAAAGCCCTTTACAAAGCATTTTCATACACATCACTTCCTTTGGTCCTCCCCACAGTCCTGGTAGATAGAGAGGGAAGGGGTAAAGGTGTTATAAGCCCATTTTATAGGTGAGAGAAGCCGGACTGTGGACAGAGCCACGGAGAGTTTACTGTGCTGCTCACATATCTGAGAACCAACAGTCCCATTGTTGGTGGAACTGAGGCAAGAAGCTGCTTTTCGAACGTCTGGTTCTTCTGTCCACAGAGATTTACTTCGGGAATGCTGCCCTCCCAGTATTCACATCTTGCCTATGGCTGAACAGGGAACAGCTGGGGTCACAGCTGACTTTGGACCAGCTCCAGCCTTGGGCCTTAATGCCATGTGAAGGTAGGGAAAAAGAAGACCCCTAGGCTGGCAGTTTGCTGTAGCCAAGTCTTTACCATCACATCATGTTTGTGTCTGTGCTTGTTTGAAAGGCTTCCTTGGCCTCTGCCCCACGCATGAGGCAGAACAGGTGGCACCAGGTCTCAGGTGGTTAAGGCCTGGCCATGGAGATGGTCAGGGTCATGTGGGAGGACTCTCTTTGGAAAGATGAGCACCAGAGATGAGGGATGCGCCCTCAGAGGCATAGCTGTGTCCCAAGGTGGGAAAAGATCCCGGCAGACTTGGGTTCATCCGAGGTACGCTTCTTATTCTACGCTAGCACCCAGGTACTGAGAAACAATAAACAGCCCAGGGATGGAATAAATAGCTTTTCAAATGACAGAGCTTCTTCTCAGATGAACTTATTCCCCCTCTTTAAGTAATCAGACCTACGGCTAAGCCTACTTTTAAAAAACTCAAAAAACAAAACAAAACGAAAACCAAAAAGCAATTCGCCCACTGTCTTTTCCGGATCCTGTTCTGAGTCTCTGTCCCAGTGGGGCAAAATCTGGCTCTCAGAATGTACAGCCACAGCGGGCTACAACTGCAGGCTGTGCAGAAAGACGCCGTGGGAGTGCCTGAGAGTCAGTGATAAGGAGCCTCGGCTGCAAAGCAGCCAGGGCCCGTCGAGAGGACATGAAGCTGCAGGACCAAAGAAATGTAACTGTCTTATCCCAGAGGTGACACAAATTTTCACTGGAATCTTTCACACGAGCCAAAATTTCAGAAGAGGGCCTTCATCCAGGGCCTCAACTAGGCCATCTGGAGCCTTTGTGCAAAAGTAGAAGGCACGCCCCTCTGGGTGGACATTTACAAAATGGCGCCTCTTCTTGTGGGTTAGTAGAGCACAAGCTGGATCTCAGCCCCTCTGTGTCCCCTTGGCAGATGACCCCATGCAGGGCACAGGTGGCTCTGTCTTCATCATTTATAAAATGCAGTTTCCAGACCGCCTGAGACCTGGTGCCACCGCTTCTGCCTCATGAGTGGGACAGAGGCCAAGGAAGCCTTTCAAACGAGCACAGACACATACCCCCTTTTTGGGGGTATGTCCTCCCTAACTACAGGATAGACTTTAATAATATTTTTAAATAACTGTCTCATTTCTGAGGAGCCCTGGAGGAACGCTTGGCTGTTAACCAAAAGTTCAGCAGTTCAAACTCACCAGCTGCTCTGCAGGAGAAAGGTGTGACAGTCTGCTTCTGTAAAGATTTACAGCCTTGGAAACCCTATGGGGCAGTTCTACTCTGTCCTGTAGGGTCGCTATGAATTGAAGTTGTCTTGACAGCAGTG